TAGGGATTTTCTTTCCTCCTCCCCCCCTCCCTCCCCCAGCTGCAATTAGAACCGAGCCATCAGACCACAGCATTTAGAGAAATACCAATTCACAACCCATAGAGGACAGCTACAGTTGTCAGCTCTCAAAAACATTTATTCATTAAATGCTCCTGGTCAGCTTAATTTTGGGGTGTTAAAAATAAAACTTCAGTGATCATCTTCATCCTGTACCATTAACTGGTTCTCTGTAAACTCCCAGTTATTTCTAAATATCTAAATGACCATAAAATACAGGGTAAAACTCTGCTGTGTGTCTGCTTCTGACAATAAGTACCATACTTCAAACAGCCTTTGATAAACAGCTTAGATACTTTTCTCAGCAAGCTTCAGATAAAACAGATTCCTTTCACAGAGCTATTGCCTGGGCAGGACTCCTGATGAATTTCCTGGGATTTTTGGAGGAGGTGTGTATAACATGGGAAGTCTCATCCAAGACTGTCTATAAACCCACAGTTGTAATGGACTGTGGTTTTATATGAACATGTGTGCACACGTGAGAGAAGGGTAAGGTGCTAGGCTGAGGCAAATTTTCTTAAATTTTCAGGTACTACCAAAAATACCCAACTTTAATAAAATTTTGCTGTTAAGAGTAACCCAAATGAATAAAAAATACCAGCTGAATCAAATGTGGTCCCAAAGAGTGGCAAGAAACAGAGGAGTTTTTAAATAGATTGCAGCAAATTCTGGTGCAAAGCAGTTTTTTTCTCCATGCTGCAAACTGCACGTGGTCCCCTTCCTTCAGAGGTGACAGAGGTACCTGTACAAGGGTTCATGGCTGCAAAGGACAGTGGCCAACATCTTTACCTGACATTAAAAGTCCTGTGCCAGTCTTTGAACTATTCATTAAATACATTTTAAATTCTTAAATCAGGTGTAAAATACCACCACAATGAAACAAAACCCTCAAGTGTAAGAGGCACATAGCTCTGATACTATATTGAAAAAGGCCACGCAAGGACTTGGAGGAGATGCTACTGATGCTGAAAAAGGTTTAACAGAGACAACTCCAAGATACATGTAACTTAAAGCTGGAGGGGAGGGGAAGGGAAGGAAAAAAAAAAACCCTCTAAGTGCTTCAAGATGAGAAAGAAGCTAAAGCACAGAAGATGCTGCTTGACACCAAGAAGTAGACTTTGGGGTAACGGCCTTTTTAAGTTTATGTTATAGCAGCACATAAGCCCAATTTTTATCTCAATTTGACCGAAGTTCTTTAATGTGCAAATGTATTGTATGAAGGGAGCAGGCATAGTCTCTTGTAATAAGACCGCAGTCTATGAGAAAGAAGATAGGAGAGGAAGACACAAGGAAGCAACAGAGTCCTGGTGAGAAGAACTGTCTCACAGCCCAGGGCAGAGCTCTGCCCTCCAGATTAGCCCCTCCAGAGCCCCAGCTTCTCCCCCTGAGACATCTGACTGTGGGTTTTCCTACTGTATGCATCACAACCCTCAGTTAATTCGCTAGGGTATTTTTCTCCCTCTTCAGTAAAGGGGCATTGATGACATTAAACAGTATTATTTCAAGTAAATCTTCTGTATTTCAAACATATGTGAAGCCACAGGGGGATGAGTGGTTTCTGACTTGAGTAATACCAGCTAATGTTAAAGGGCATTTATCTACTTTTTTTTTTTTTTTTTTTTTTTTTTTTTTTTTTTTTTTTTTTTTTTTTTTTTTTATTAAGAGAAGGATAAGCAACACTTATTAGAAACAACGACAATTTCAACTTTATTTCCATTTGAAAACACTGTTTTGCCCTGACAAGAGACAATATTTCTGTCAAAGCTTTCATTAGAAAGAGTTTCTCAGACCAAGGACTGATTTTCTAGTGAAACCCGGTACATCATCTCACATGGACGAACCATTTCCTTGGTTAGCACATTGCACAGAACACAGGAGGTGTCCATACACATGATTCAGCTCTGAATCATATTCAAAGTTTGCTTTCCACATCTAAAGAAGGAAACTAATTATTCGCAGAGTGATCTTTCTTGTTTATCTCTGTCATCATCTTGCAGGACTGGACAAAGAATGAAAATTCTGTGCTGGCAGACCAAAAAGAGGGCTTTGTACAATTCCTCACACACACACACACACACACACACACACACACACAAAAGTACAACAAATTTAGTTTAAGAACGATATTCAGTAAACGTCTAGCAAAATGCAAAAATAAAATTAATTCCTAAAGACAACTGAATTTGGGAAGAGGAACAAAGAGATGGTGGGGCAGGGAAGAGAGGCTGGAGAAGGGGAAGAGCTCTACATTCAACTAGATTATCCCCACCTGCATGTGCCATTTCACTCCTGTCAGCATTTCTGGAGCTAAACAACTAGTTCATTGGAAACTATACCCATCAGTAGCTCTGCAGTTAATTCATTTGAGGGATTACCCTGATGGCATTATGGATGAGAACCAGTTTCAACTGCCTCTACCACTTGACCACTTTAATTTAACATCACCTTACTTCTCACATACATTGATGTCACACTTGAGAGAGGATGATGT